CTACATCATGTTCGTCATCACCCGCACCCTCACTGGCACAGCCCTGGCTGGCTTCACCATCATCGTGATGCCACTGGGTGAGGCAGGCAAAGAACGGGCAGGGCCCACAGGGCTGGAGGGTGAGACTGAGCCACATGTCCCTGGCTAACTGTCCTCCTGTCTCTGGCTGTGGACAGAGCTGGAGTGGCTGGACGTGGGACACCGCACCGTGGCAGGGGTCCTGAGCAGCACCTTCTGGACGGGGGGCGTGATGCTGCTGGCCCTGGTCGGGTACCTGATACGGGACTGGCGATGGCTTCTGCTGGCTGTCACCTTGCCTTGCGTCCCAGGCATCATCAGCCTCTGGTGAGGCCTGTGGGCAGCTGGGGAGTGAGAAGAAGCCAGAGACAGAATAATCAGAGGCTGAGATTCGAAGACAGTGAGATTGAGACAAAGAGAATGAAAAACAATCCGTGACCCAAAGACAGAGACCAATACATGAGATGCAGAGAAACACAAAACAAAATATAGAGAGATAGACAGACAGACCAGTGAGAGAGAGTGAGTGACAGAGACCAGGACTGAAAGGCAGGTTCAGAGAGGCAGATGGAGATGGATGCAAGAGGGACATGAGAGACAGAGCCAAGCACAAACTGAGGCTGGTGCCCTGGAGGACAGAGCCAGCATGGAGGTAGGAAGGCCAAGTAGAGGGAAGGCCGGGCAGTGTGGGCATTTCATTGCCTCCCCCAAATGAGCTGGCTTTGAATGACACCTCTGGGTCTGTCTCTCATTCATCCTATGCCCTCCTGTCACCTGTGGGAGAAGTGGGTGGCTGGTCCTGGGGGCTGAGGTCTTGGGGGTGACACCAATTCGGTTGAATAGAAAAGTGACTCCCGGGCTATGGAGAACCTAGGCCTGGGGAAAGGTGGCTTCTAAGTTGGGCCTTAAAACGAATAAAAGTTCATCAGGTGAAGAGGGTTGGGAAGATGCTGCAGGCTGAGAAGCAGCTTGTGGTGTGCCCAGGAGGGAGACATGACTTAGGGTGCTGACTGAAGGGCCTCCTGCTGTCCCCCAGGTGGGTGCCTGAGTCTGCACGCTGGCTTCTGACTCAGGGCCGTGTGGAGGAGGCCCACAGGTACCTGCTCTGCTGTGCCAGGCTCAATGGGCGGCCTGTGGGTGAGGACAGCCTGAGCCTGGAGGTGAGGGTGAATGTGTGTGTGAGAGCATGCAAGTACATGTGTGTGTGTGGTGTGTGTCAAGCACTCCCTTCCTGGGGCCCACTGTGTGTGCAGGAAAAGCTCCCTGGTCCAATGTAGAGTTCTCCCAGGATATCGCCTGGCGGGCCACACCCTCGGCGGTTTACCCTGCTCAGCTCCCATGTGCATCCATCTCTCCCCTCCAGTGCAGAAGGGGGGAATAGAGACCCAGAGAGAGCAATGTGCCTTGCTAAGGCCACACGTCAACTCCATGTCACAAACTCTCCTCCCCCACCAGGCCCTGCGCAAAGTAGCAGCTGCAGAGCGGGTGGTCCGAAGACCTTCCTACTTGGACCTGTTGCGGACCCCGCGGCTCCGACACATCTCACTGTGCTGCATGATGGTGTGGTGAGGAGGGGGCTGGCCTGGCGGGGTGGGGGTGGGGCGCGGAGGGAGCAGCTGACTTCAGGATGATGCTGAGTTGCTGGGGTCCAACCCCAGCAGGGTCCAGGGGTCCCCAAAGGTGTGGACGGAGTCGGCGAAGAAGGAATGACACGGAGACAGCCTTCAGTTGATCAGCAGCCTAGCCAGGACCTCTAGCCAGGATCTCTGGCCAAAGTTCTGGTTAGGAACTGATCAGGATCTGATGTTTATTGTCTTGTTACATCTGTATTTATACCAGTCGATTTTAATCCTGTCAATTTCTATTACAAAGGTTAGGGCGTTTCTTATCTCCATTCCAGGGAGTAAAGATTATGTAGCTTAACTACCCGCCTGGCACTTAATTAAGGGGTTGTATCCCCTCCCTAACCTCAGGGAAAAGTCCCTACCTGGGGAAACAACCTTTCTCGGAGAGGTGACCTTGGTTAAAACACATAGCACAAGAAGGTGAGCAAACGTATTAAGAACAGTATGCCATATATGCCAGGTCCCTTGAAACAGCAAGGATGGACCGGCTCCCGGCACTGAGTATAACAGGAAACGGGACAAGTAAACTATAACTGTGGAGAGCAGGGTGGGGGTGGGGATGGGGGGATGGGGCTCTGGAAGGTCAGAAGATGGAGCAGGCATCAGTCACGTGGGTTCAAATTCAGGCTCTTCCCTTTCCTTATTGGGAGACCTTGGACAGGTAGAAGGGACGCTGTTAGTACCTACCTCGAAGGGTTGCTGTGAAGATTAGGCAAAGAAGCTTTGGCCACAAGGGGGAGGTGGTCTCTCCTAAAGGCCAAGTTCCCTGAGAGGACACGGTGGGTGGGAAGGAGGCCCCTGAGTGGCCCTGTGACCCCTCTCAGGTTTGGAGTGAATTTCTCCTATTACGGCCTGAGCCTGGACATATCGGGGCTGGGGCTGAACATGTACCAGACGCAGCTGCTGTTCGGGGCCGTGGAGCTGCCCGCCAAGCTGCTGGTCTACTTGTCGGTGCGCCACGCCGGACGCCGCCTCACACAGGCAGAGATGCTGCTGGGCGCTGCTCTCACCTTGGGCTTCAGGCTGCTGGTGCCCACCGGTGAGCCTGGCCCGGCCCCACCCACTCGCCCAGGCCCCGCCTCCTGGCCAAGAGCCCCCGCCCTTTCCCAGAAGCCTCGGCTCCAGGCCAATGACGTGTGCCCCCTCTGAAGACTCCGCCTTCTGTCCTGAACCCTCTCCTCCAGAGAAGGTGTACTGGAGCACCGCCCTGGCGGTGACCGGGAAAGGGTTTTCCGAAGCTGCCTTCACCACTGTCTACTTGTTCACCTCGGAGCTGTACCCGACTGTGCTCAGGTGAGGGGAGCCCGAGTCCAGGCAACCCTGGGGAGAGGGTTTGTTAGTCTCATCTCTTCCCAACACCCCCACATACACACAACACACTGCACCCCCGTCCCTCTCACCCATTCCCTGGCACAGCACTCAGAATACGGAGCTAATCAGAGCCTCTGCTGGCCTCAATCTTGGAGAAGGTGGGCCATTTTATCTTCTTCACTAAGTGACCCTGAGGGAGGCCAGACGTCTCTGGGCCTCCTTTAAAACAAAGCAGTGGCCAGAAGCCCCGTCTGCCCATCCCATCCCATCTCCCCGCAGCCCAGGCAGAGCTGCCCTGGGGAGTTGTGTCTGGACATAAGGCCTGGCCCCTTTCAACTAGCTATTGGCAGGTGAGGAGGCGGCGTGTAGGCAGCCGAGTATGATTAGAAAGCCTTGCACCTCCTCTGACAACATGGCATAATCTATGAGCTGCTGGCCCTCTTCCTTCCACACTGCTTTTCCCCACCCCCTTTCCTGTGACATTTCTTTTCCTTCAATGATACCTGACTGGTACTCTGTCAGAATGGGGGCCCCATCCTCTGGTGGGTGTTGACTTGGGGGGGCCTTGGCCAGGGGTGGGCAGGAAGACCACCCGACAGGAGCCTCAGCTTTCTTAGCTGTCTGGGGAGAAAAGGGGGTACCAACAGGGGTACTCCCTGCCAGCCCGGGGAGAGCCCCATGAGGCATGACTCCAAGTAGCTGTGAGCACCAACCCCTCCCCCATCCTTTCTCTGAACAGACAGACAGGGATGGGGCTGACTGCACTGGTAGGCCGGCTTGGGGGCTCTTTGGCTCCACTGGCGACCTTGCTGGATGGAGTATGGCTGTCACTGCCCAAGCTCACTTATGGGGGGATTGCCCTGCTGGCTGCCTGCACTGCCCTCCTGCTGCCAGAGACAAGGAAGGCACAGCTGCCAGAGACCATCCAGGATGTGGAGGGGAAGAGGTGTGTATACTTGCATGTGGATATGGGTGCTCAGGTACCTGACACCTTAGGTAGGATTCAGAGGAAGACATGTCTGTATCTGGTACATCTATGCAAGTATGCATTGGTACATGACCTAAAGTATGTAAATTGTGTGTATAAAAGCATGCTCGAGTCCATATCCATGTGTGTGTACATAAATACCTAAGACTGTCTAGGAAGAGGTGGATGTATGCACACTCAGGTATACCTGTACATCAGGGATGTGTATAAGCATGTGTAGGAGTCCCTTGTGGGAGTACACACATTTATATACCAAGAGTTGGGGAAACCCTAGGTCAGCACTAATGGGGAAGGCTGGGGTGGTAGACTCAGGGGCTAAACCCCACCATTATTCACGACTCCTTCCTCCCCAATGCCCCGTCCAGCCTTCAGGAGGAACAGATGCCCATGAAGCAGGTCCATGACTGAGTGGTCTCAGGAGCAGGCACTCCACAGAAGTTCTGGACCAGGGCTGGGGGCATTGAGCCCCCTGCTCAGGGTTGGATTTGCCACCAACGCCACTCTCTGTGCTCATCCAACTGCTAGCAACAGAGTGACTTCCAAAATGCATTGGACTGCTGGAGAATTCTGGTACCTCTCTCTTGGCTAAGCGGATTCTATAAATAAAGGTTCCCCCTGGGTTGGGGCAGTGGTATGGAGCTGTGGGATGAGCCCTGAATGGGAAGCCACTGAGTCTGGTGCTGGCTTCTGATCTGACCTTTACCACTGATTTGCTGTGTGACCTTGGGCATTTCCCTTTTGGAGCCTCAGTTTGTTCATCTCTCAAATGGATAATGAAACTTCTTAACAGACCTCACCACAGGATCTATCGGTTGTCACACTCAATGAGGTGCAGAATAAGGTGCTTCTTCTAGAGATGGTGCTATGATGACGTCTGTGGGCATGCTTTTCACTGTGTAATGCTGGAGGCTGCCCAATGCCAGGGCCAGAACAGAGCTCTTTGTTCCACAGCTGGTCTTACTACCTCCCTGGCACTTTGCAGGGTAATGCATCCTCCACCGCCCCCCCCCCCCCCAACCCACTGTCTAGGCCTCATGCCCAAAGAAGAAATGAAGACATGGGAGCCAACATTTTATTGGAGAAGGCTGAATAAACACAAGTTTTATGAGTACCTTGAAGTTATAGAATTTGCTGGGGAAAGGAACTGGAAAGGACAAGAGGCCAACATTCAAAATGGGGTGGACCAGTTCCCCTGAGCAGATAGGAATGAGAAAGGGAGGAGTTGGCAGAGAAAGTATAGACTTTCTGGTCTGCTACGGAGCTGAGGCCCACGCTGCCAGAATCCCATCTTCCCCTACCTCCATGGGATTGAAGAATTCTGTAGCTCCCATTGGATCATGGAGGGGATGATGGGAGGCCTGAGTTAGGGTGACTTCTGTAAGCATCTCATTTGGATTTTATCTCCACAGGGTCATAGATGTAGCAGCCCACATCACCAATGTTCACACCTGAGGGAGAGAGCCTCATCACTCAGGGCCTTGGGGCCAGGGGGTACTGGGCTTAGGGCTGGAGGGAACTGGGAGGGACCTGGGATATATCTGAGTACAGGGGAAGTTGTCCACACATCCCCACAGACCCACATGCCATACTTTAAGCCCAGTGTCTAGGGTGGGGCTGCCCACCTTTGGGGCCAAACAGGTAGCCGTAGCAGGGGATGTGGCAGTAGGGGACGCCGTCATGCTGGGACACAGAGAGAAAGAGAGCACTCTCAGCTTGGCTCTTTTCCTATCTCCAGCCTCTCTCCTCCCAGCATAACCACCCATCCCTCCATTGCTCACCTCAGCATGACTCCCAGCAGTCAGAGTCTTCCGGCAGCGCTGGCACCTCAGACAGGGTCGGTGCCAATTTCTGCCCAAAGACATCACCTTCTCAGCTGGTGGTAGAGAGAGTTAGTAACCCTAGGGGCAGGGCAGGGACCCTTGCACCACCTCCCTGCCCTTTGATGCCCACCTTGTACTTCCCTCCTTTCACTTTCTCTTGTCACTTACCAAAATAGACAGGTTCCTCACAGCCAGGGCACAGCGAGGTCTCCCCAGTGAATGTCTTCATGTGGCAAGGGCCTTTAAGGGGAAGAGGCCCTGGCTAGGGCTGAGGTGGAGGCCAGGCCTAAGTAGGGCCCTCTAGCACCAGTCTGCATATGGCACTGTCCTCTTCCCAAAGCCATGCTCAATCCAGAGCCTCCCATCAGGTGGCCATAAGTATGCCTTCCTCAGACAGAGCTGAGTCCCCTCTGATCCCACCTCCTGTCCCATCCCTATCTGCAGGAGGGACCACCTACTTCCTTCTCGTTCTCCCAGGGGGTCAGGTGCCCACCAGCCCAACCCTGTCAGCAACTCAATCCTCAGGAAACCTGAGCTGATATAAGAGCTGCCCAGGGCAGGGGTGTCAGGTGTTTGGGGAGCACAGTGTCACTGCCCACTGTAGGGGACAGGAGAAAGTAACAGAGGGGAGCAGTGGAAGAATGTGAGGGACTGGCCCTGTCTCAATGACTCCTCATAAGTCATTCCTTCCATGGTCTTGCCTGGGAGAGCCTGACTTCCAGGCTAGCTTTGCCTCTGACTAGCTGTGACTACACAAGGTCACTTGCTCTCTCTGACCTCAGTTTCCTCGCCTGTAAAATGGGGGTGGTAATGCCATTTTCCACTTTACCTATGAACTCAGCAGCTGACATGAGGAAACATAAAAAAACTGGTCTTGGATAATGGAAGATTTTGCCATGAACAAAGTTGTAGGAATGTGAGGCATAGGACTATGTGAGAGACTGCCACCTGCTTCCACCCCGTTCCCCAGCCTAGGAAGGATCAGAAGAAGGGGGCTCAGCCTCACTTACTTTTCTTGCGCTGGGGGAGGCCAGTCCTGGGCCTTGGGGGGCTGAAACTGCTGGGGTGGAGGGGAGTGGTGTTGGCACGGGTGAGAATGGGGGAGTTGTAGAGGTAGGAGCCCACACCACCAATGTTCACCCCTGCAGAGAGAAGAGGGTGAGTCAGACTTGAGTCTCCAGGTCCCTGCCACAGAGAGGGTTTCCGCTGCACTCTGTCCCCTTCCAAGCTGGTACTTACCACTGGGTCCGAAGAGAATCCCATAGCATGGCTTGTGGCAATACGGCCTCCCATTGTGCTAGGCACAAGCAGAAGAAAAGGGGTTGCTCAGGGATAAGGGGGCTTCTCCTGTGTCTCACAGGTCTTCCTACCAAACACACTGCCCGGTGTCTGCCTACTGGCCTGGGCTGGTGGGGCTGGGAGGGGCAAGGGTGGGCTGGCATGCCAGAATTGCCGCTGTGGTCAGGGGAAAAGGGCAAGAGCAGGTCAGGAAGCAGTGCTGCTGCCTTCTCCTCCCCCTCAAATGGCATGGGGCTCACCAGTACTACTCAGGGTCCCCAAATCCTGGCTGGTGTGGGGCCCACCCTGGAAGTGGTTTTGGGAGTTGCACTGAGGTTGCCTTTGGTGAGCTGACAGGGCCACAGTGGGGCTGGTGCCTGGGGGACAGTAACAGACATAGGGTGGTGTGCCCCAGATAGGTCTCACCTCTGCATGCCCTCCTGGGGACAGGACACTGTGGCAGTGCTCACATTTCAGGCAGAAGCGGTGCCAGTTCTTGCCCAGGGAGCTCACCTTCTCTGCTGTAGGGAACAAGGTGGAACCAGGCTGCCAATCGCCCTCCTTTCCCCCCTCAGCCCCATCCTGCTTCCCGGAGACGGTGGGGAGTGTCTCCAGGAGGCCAGCTCCATCCCGCCAGAGTGCCGGTCCCACAGCTAGAAGGGAGTCTGGGGTTGCACCCGCGCCTGTTCCTCGTGTCCTCAGGGAACCCAGCGGCTCACACTCGCCCAGTTTTCTCCCGCTTCTCAGCCCGGGCCTCACCGAAGAAAACGGGTTGCTGGCAACGTGGGCAGGTCCAACTCATGGCTCCGCTCAGGTAAGCTGGTTGCTGCACACAGTAGGCACCCAGCAGGGACTCCGTTCCACCCTCTCCACTGGCTCCACCCATGACTCAGCTTGGAGCCTCATTGGGCTGAACCCCCTGTTCCTCAAAGCCCATTAGTTGCCAGAAATTTAGCACTACTCCACCTGGGGGACGCTGGCGCCTTCGCAATTACTTCCAAACACTAAAGCCTCTCACCCTCCGAGAAGTGAGAAGGTCCTGAAGCCAGACTGTGGGAAAAGGGAGCAATGAAGACACTTGGTACTAGTTTCTGGCTTGGTACGGAGAGGGAAAATGCCTTGAGTGTAGACACCATGAAAGCACTATTATTTCAAACCCAAAGCGAGGGGTTAGGGGTTCTTTGAAATGGTTTAATTCCATCTTGGCAGTCTCACAGGTGGTTAAGAGCACCGGAATCTGCAGTCCATCTCTGCTACAGGTAAATTACTTAACCATCCTCTGCCTCTGTTCTGTACAATACTATGATGATAAGTCTCTACCTCATAGGATTGTTGTGAGAATTATTTACGTTAATACATGCAGTGCCCAAACAGCACCTAGCATATAAATGCTATAAAGCAATTACTACCATAATGAACTCTTAGTTTGGAAGCCTCAAAGGGTGGTTCTGCAAACAATGGTTTGCTTGTAAAATTATGTTTATTAAATTTAAACTATAATTCAATCACCAATTACATATTCCTAATTTAGTTTGTTTTAAGAAGTTTTAAGCCGAAACCGGTTTGGCTCAGTGGATAGAGCATCGGCCTGCGGACTGAAAGGTCCCAGGTTCGATTCCGGTCAAGGGCATGTACCTGGGTTGCGGGCACATCCCCAGTAGATGTGCAGGAGGCAGCTGATCGATGTTTCTCTCTCATCGATGTTTCTAACTCTCTATCTCTCTCCCTTCCTCTCTGTAAAAAAACAATAAAATATATTTTTTAAAAAAAAGATGTTTTAATATTTGTTAAAAGTAGCTCAACAGCCCAGCACGGTGGTTCAGTGGTTGAGCATCGATCCATGAACCAGGAGATCATGGTTCGATTCCTGGTCAGGGCACATGCCCAGGTTGCGGGTTCAATCCCCAATGTGGGATGTGCAGGAGGCAGCTGACCAATGATTCTCTCTCATCATTGATGTTTCTATCCCTCTCTCCCTCTCCCTTCCTCTCTGAAATAAAAATAATAATAATTTTTTTTAAAGTAGCTCAGCAGTGCTTCAAAGGACACTTCAAAAATGGAACCTCACAGAATGGCAGAAAAACATTTGCAAACATGTATCTGATAAGGGTCTAGTAACCTGAATATATATAAAGGACTGTTACAACTCAATAATAAAAAGACAACCCAATTAAAAAATGAGCAAAGAATTTGAATAGGCATTTTTTCCAAAGAAGATATACAAAAAGTACATGAAAAGATGCTCAACATCATTAGTCATTAGGGAAATGAAAATCAGAACCACGATGATATACCATTTTACACCTATTAGAATGACTATAATAAAAAAGTGAGCCCTAGCTAGTTTGGCTCAGTGGATAGAGCATCGGCCTGCGGATTGAAGGGTCCCAGGTTCCATTCCAGTCAAGGGCACATGCCTGGGTTGCGGGCTCCATCCCCAGAAGGGGATGTGCAGGAGGCAGCTGATCAATGAATCCCTCTCATAATTAATGTTTCTATCTCTCTCTCCTTCTCCTTTCCTCTCTGAAATCAATAAAAAAAAATATATATATTTTTTTAAAGTGAGTATTAAGTGTTAGTGAGGATGTGGCAAAACTGGATCCCTCATACATTGTTGATGGAAATGTAAAATAGTACAGCCCTTTGAAAAGAATCTAGCAATTCCTCAAAAGGTTATTATATGACCCAGCAATTGCATTCTAGGTATATACTCAAGAGAAATGAAAGCATTTGTCCACATAAAAACTTATACACAAATGGTCACACTACTTCTATTCACAATAGCTAAAAGGTGGAAACAACCCAACTAATAAACAAAATGTGGTATAACCATAATAGAATATTATCCTATACAATAAAAGCCTAATATGCAAATTGTCCCCTCGACCAGGAGTTTGACCAGGGGCTGGTGGCAGCAGGCAGCTGGGGGAAGGGAGGCCCCGGCCGGCAGCCGGCAGCCACTAGGGACCTACCCATGCACGAATTTCGTGCACTGGGCCTCTAGTTCAGTTATAAAAAGGATTGAAGCACTGATGCATGCTATAACACGAACCATAGAAACATTGTTAAGCCAAATAAGCCAGACATATAACACCACCACATATTTTATGATTCCATTGATATAAAATGTCCAGAATAGGAAACCCACAGAGAGAGAGATTAGTGGTTGCTCAGGGTTTTGGGAAAGGGCTAATGGGTATGAGATCTCTTTAGGGGAAGATGAAAATGATCTGGAATTAGATATTGGTGATAGTTGCACAACCTTAGGAATATATGAAAAATCGATGAATTGTACACCTCAAAAGGGTGAACTTTATGGTATGTGAATGTCTCAATGTTTCAGTTTAATATCTCAGTAATGATGATTATAACAATAATGCCTTAAGTGAACTACTTAAAAAAAATGGTAGCCTAGCAAATGAGGGATAAAGAGGGAGCTGATTACTTTGTACCCCAGCAGAGCACACCACCTTGATAAAATATCATGGTGAAAAACTTCAGTTTTTTCTGAAGTTCCTCTGTGGGTTTTTGTTTTAAATATGTTTTTATTGATTTTAGAGATAGAGAGGAAGGAGGAGGGAAGGAGAGATAAAACATTGATGTGATTGCCTCCCATAAGCACCCCAACTGGGGATCAAACCCGTAAGCTGGGTATGTTCCCTGACTGGGGGGTCAAACCAGGGATCTTTCGGTGTACAGGCTACACTCAACCTGAACAACACCGGCCAGGGCTAAGTTCCTGTTTTGTAAAGTCAGTTCAGAGGGCTTAAGGGTGTGTGGGTGGGTGTGTAGGCACACATCATTGGGCTGCAGTGCTGTGCCCTGTTGGGTAAAAAGAGTCCCTCTCTGAACTTAAGTCTCCTCAGTTGGGCCATAGGGATGGGACTGGTGTCTACAAACTTCCACTTAGCACTCCTGTTTCCCTCACTTGTCTTCATCAGTACTTCCTGATCATAATTCCTCATTGATTTCTAAACATACAAGGCTTGCACACTGTGAAAGAAACTTTTCTATACTTTCTCATTATTTGTTTCTTGTTTCGGAGAATATTTCAAGATCGTTAGATTTATAACTGTTTCTTGAAGGGCTTCTTTTTAACAAACTTGAAAAATATTAGTTTTGGTCTCCACTGATATTTTACTCTTATGTTTCTGCCTCTCTCATTTGTTTCTTCTTGTAGAAGGTAGCTCGAGGTTCGGTGCGTTTGCTCTCTATGGCACTAATGAAGAAGGTCCCATTTCAGGAGATTGGAATTGTTGTATTTATTCTTAGATATGCTGCCTCCTTTAGGAAGGGCTAGCTTCATCTGCCCAAGAATCCATCTTCAGCATTTCCAGGGCACATCAGTTAATCCTTTCCTAAGACTGCCTAGTTCTTTCTGCTTTGGATCATATTATACACATGCCCTAGCCTCCTAGACAGGTCATTTTTATCCTAGCATCCAGCACAGGGCCCCACTAGAAGAAACAGGCATCAAAGTGTGAGTACCATGCTGCTTCTACACAACTTACAATGTCAGTGGGACAAATGCTTTACTGCTCCCCATCTTCTGTGGCCTTCCTATATTGTATGTCATGACAAACATAGTATGTCTCATCTCTTCTATTTCTTCACTTAGGAAAGACTAGTTGAGACTCCTCCTTTCTAAATATTTGCCATCTATATGCAGGTACAGCAAATCACAATATTCCATTCTTCTTCCTTGTCTGGTTTCCATTATTCTGACTCTAAAAGAGGCTTTGTAAAGAATGCTTCTAGGGCCCTAACCGGTTTGGCTCAGTGGGTAGAGCATCGGCCTGCGGACTGAAGGGTCCCAGGTTCGATTCCAGTCAAGGGCATGTACCTTGGTTGCAGGCACATCCCCAGACGGGAGCGTGGCGGAGGCAGCAGATCGATGTTTCTCTCTCATCGATGTTTCTAACTCTCTCGCTCCCTTCCTCTCTATAAAAAAATCAATAAAATATATTTTTAAAAAAAGAATGCTTATAGGGGTGCCCTCCCTCTTGGCACCCTGGCCTTTCTTCCCTCTCAGGCATGCATCTCCTAAACTCTAAGGATCCCCACTAGACTTGCAATCCGGGGAGCAATGGGCAGCAGCAGCTAATCCTGGGCTAACCTGTCTCCAAGGCCCCTTTTCTCTGATTTTGCAGTGAGCAGCCCCACCTAGGTTCATTTCTTTCCTATAACATTTCGAGAGCCAAAAGCAGCTCTGTTTAGGTTCTCTCCTGTTGCTTCTTCTATCCTAAGCCCTTCCTTATTTAACTGCCCCCAGCTTTAATAAACATACTTAAAAATGTTATTAAAAAAAGAATGCTAACAGGGAAAACGAACATTTCTTATAGGAATGTACTTACAGTTGCTGACAATGGCTGTTTTGAATACTATGTGTGACTAAACCTCTAAAATGATATTATAACAAAAACCACAAATGGATAAGTCCAGTTGAGTGTAGGTACAGTAGCTCCCCTTATCTGCAGGAGATATGCCCCAAGACCCTCAGTGCATGCCTGAAAGCACAGATAATACTGAACCCTGTATAGACTTTGTTTTTTCCTATACATAATTACCTATGATAAAGTTTAATTTATAAATTAGATACAATAAGATAGTAACAATAACTAATAACAGAACAATTATAACAATAGAAGGATTACATGAACACAAGCACTGAGATGCAGCAACAGTTGATCTGATAACCAAGATGGCTATAAAGTGACTAACAGACAGGTAGCAGATACAATGTGGATATGCTGGATAAAGACATGGTTCACATTCCAGGCCGGATGAAGTGGGACTATATGAGATTCATTATGCTACTCAGAACAGTTCACAATTTAAAACTTAAGAATTTTTTATTTCTGGAATTTTCCACTTAGTATTTCAGGTTGACTGCAGGTAACTGAAACTGCAGAATGTGAAACTGCGGATAAGGGGGGACTATTGTATTACCTACTCAACTGTCAGGGTGCAGCTTCTGTCATCCCTTTTTTTGTTTAAAATATATTTTTATTGATTTCAGAGAGGAAGGGAGAGGGAGATAGAAACATTAATTGGCTGCCTCCTGCATGCCCCCTATTGGGGTTCGAGCTTGCAACTTGGGCATGTGCCCTGACTGGGAATTGAACTGTGACCTCCTAGTTCAAAGACTGATGCTCAACCACTGAGCCACAACAGCTGGGCTGTGTCATCCCTTATAGGGAGGCAGCCCCCCCCGTTTCATAACGATGATTGTTCTCTTGGTGTCCCCCACTCCCTGCTTTTCTTGCACAGACCTCTGTCACAGTATCTGTAAATGCTGTATTACACTTACTATTTATTTGTCTGACTTTCTTCAATTAACAGGATTGACCGACTAATCTGTGTACCTATAGCACTAAGTATGGTGTGGGTGCTCAGTAAATGATCCTTATTAAAATTTACCATTAACACTTTTTACCTCATGTTTTTAGGTAGATGTATATTTTAGGATTGTTATGTTTTCTTGATGAATAAATCCCTTTATTTTTGTTGTTAGGCAAGAAAAAAGCATTTCACTCTAGGTGAGTAGTGGTGGA